TATAATTTCTGAAGGCACATCTGTTAATAAATAAATAAACCAACTTAAGGCCAGATGTGATCCTAGTTACCGGGATCGCTAGAAGACTGTCTTTACGGGCTTCTTTTTTCACCAGTCTCAATAATGAATATTTCCAGTTGTAGCGCAGCAGGCGGAGCTCAGTCCGACTCGTTTTGCAGCGCGGGTCACGAACCTTCATGGCGTTTTGCACAGACGCTGATGGTCGCTGAGGGATGAGGCTGACAGTTTTACCTTCCATTGATTTTTCATCTCGTTGCTTTATCGAGTCGACTTCCGTGGTTCTGGGTTAAACGTGCTGCTGAATAGTTTGTCATGAAATCCTGATTCGTGCTCAATAATCAGGTCGGTCAGGTTCTCTGGACGGGTTAAAAAAAAAAAAAAAAGAATTAGCTGAACCTGATATCAGGCTGAAATTTGTTGTGGTGGTAGCTGAGAGTCATCCACAACACATACGTGACATCGTGTGAGGTCAGTGGTTACAGTCGATGTTGTTGTTTGTCAACTTGACGGTCTTGGTCTAAAACACGAGTTCCTTACAGGAGTGGTGGGCCTTTAATAGAGTGAACATGAAGCCTTCGCTCTGTTGTGATCCATTTTTCTTCTGGACCTTTTTCAGCATCTTTCTCGTTCCACGGTTTTTGTGCCATTTCAACAAATCAAAAATCAAAACGTTCAGCTATGACTTTTGGTTTTGGTGCAACTTTAGCCTTTTGAAATATTTAGCCTTTTTTATCTCATAGAAACTGAATTGAGCTCATTTTACATCCTTTTACTGCTCCTTTTGTTCTGGGTCAGCTTCTTTGTGCAAATTTAAACTTTTCAGCTACTGTCAGCTAATTTCAGCTGTTTTTTCAGCTGCGTTGTGCTCCCTTCAGATTCATTCTGCTAACTACAACATTTTTGTGCTTCTTCTAACGTCTTTCTGCTATTTTCAGCTTGATTTGCTCTTTTCAGCTTACTTATGCAAGTTTCAGCTTTTTCTCCTACTTCCGCTACTATTTAGCTGTTTTTATGCTAATTTTAGATTTTCGGCTAATTCCACATTTTTTGCACTAATTTAAACTTTTTTCAGCAAAAATGTGCTCTGTATACGTCTTTCTTATAATTTCTGTGTTTTTTTTAGCTACTTTTCAGCTGTTATTTGCTAATTTCAGCCTTTTTCAGATAATATCCACTTATTTCAGCTTTTTTTCTGCTAGTTTCAGCTACTATTTAGTTCTTTTGATGTTATATTTATCTTTTTCAGCTAATTACACATTTTTTAGCTCATTTCAGTTCTTTCCACGTTCTTCTGGTAGTTTAAGCTTTTCACCTTTTCAGCTACGTTTAGCTTCTTTTTTTGCTAATTTCCTATTTTTTGTGCTCATTTCTGCTAAACCTAATTCAGCAAGTATGTGTTCTTTCTGCTTTCTTCTGTTAATTTAAGCTTGTTCTTCCATTTCAGCACGTTTTTAGCTGATTTCAGCTGTTTTTCAGCAAGTTAATAAGCAATGACACCTCATTTTCACAGGAAATGCACTTTCTCTGTTGTAAATAGAGTTGGCGCTTGTTTCACAGCTCATGTCTGACTGTAATGTCTGAACCGGCACAGGTTTGTGAGTGAGCGTCAAAAAGGAAACGTCAGGAAACCAAATCTGTTTTCCTCCGTACGTTATCCTTTCCCGCTGCTTTAACGTCTCCCTCCATGACAGTCCAGTCATCACCACAGTAAAAAGTGTTTTGAACAGCAGCCAAGCCTCTTGCTGCTTCCAGCTCACAGGCTCCACTGATCCATCGAGCTCGCCAACATTTTGCCCAGATGCTGTAAAGATGTAAGGATGGAGGCTCAGGATGCCGTCATGGCTGCTTAAGTTTGGGGAGGAGGGAAAACCTCCCAGTGTTCAACAGAAACTCTGATTTTCTTACCGTTTGGCTCTACTTACACTTATCTCCGTACAGCTGAGCATCACTGCTTCATTATGTCTTCTTTATGCACATTAATTGGTCTTGCTGTGTTTTATTTTATCTATTTTTTTTTACAGTTTCATGGTGCTCCGGAAGGACGTCCGTGAGATGAGCAGCAGTTGTCCTCCGAAAGCTGACGCAGGGCTCAAACCAGGTACGGTTTCAAGAGGCAGATCTCTGAGCCGGTGCAGCGCAGTCCCAGACGTCTGAGTTGACACACGTGGCAGGAAAAATGCCAGAGAGTGTGCAGACTGAAGACAGAAAAGTTTTCTTATTGTTCTGGGAGAAGGCAGCGGTTCAGAGCTCCTGTCGTCACGGAGTCTATTTTTATTTGAAGTCCTCACCGAGCTTTTGATGCGCACACGCTTTATTCTTTATAATTACAGTCAGGAGTAGTCAGCCGTGCTATTTGCAGGTGATTGGAGTACGACTGATATTTTCAGCTTTACAAAAGCGTGAAGCGAGCAGCTGCCAAGGTGCTTAGATGCAACTTAAACCCACCTGTGGCTGAAAGCTCCTTTGAGCCGTTTCAGAATCTGAATAATCTTTATTATCACTGTACTGAAATACAGTGAGATTACGTTCGTATAGTCGTCCGAAAGATGGGCGGAGTGCACGTTGCTGCTTCTCCTGAGAGCGCGGCCCCTTGTCCTTTTTAGATAGGAAAGGGGAAAAGGTCACGAGGAGAGGATAGTGGTATTACAAAAAAAAATCTCTTCACATCTTGTCCTTGTCAGGCCACAATTTAAGACATCAAAAACTCATTTATATTATATATTTCTATTATACATTTATAAACACATTGCATATGGATTTGACGGCAAGACGGAGAGATTTGTCCTTGATGCACTTCCACATAGTCCATAGTCCTGATAAGATGTTGGTGTCAGCCGGTACAGCTCTTCACAGAAGTTTGGGGGGGGTATAGACAAGAGTTTTTCCTTAGTTTACACATATCCCAGGAGAGATTTGATAAGTCGGCCTGCTTCCAGGCCAGATGGGGGAGTCTGATTCAGATAAGCTACAATTGTTTATTTATTCAGGCAGACTGTTGTTTCTCGTCAGCGTTGAGTCCCGCTGGTACTTTGGATCCAAAATGGCCAGACTTGTGGGCATTCCGTGTGTGGGTCCGTGCTTATAAGTTCCCTCCAAGGTCGTCCCCAACATGCTGGCGAGTCCCAGAAGGCGCACGTGGCCTGCGATTCTCACAAATCGCTTCCATCTTACAGCTTAGCTCGTAAATCAGCTGATTTTGAGTACTCGAAGCACAAACCAAACCTTCACACAGACTCGGCAGCAGTTTCAGCCATAGGAAAACTGCAGCCGTCTTTTTCAATAGCCGATAACATACGAATCCGCTGGTGCCAAAAAGCAGAAACCCTGCTATCGTGATTCTAATTATATAAACATCTTCAGCGTCCTCCTGAGACGATACGGAAAGACACATCAGCTCCCAAACTCCCCACGGATCCATGACGTATCCTGCCGCGTGCGTCTCAGCGGGGCATGAGGGCTCTCCAGGTCCGTCGCTTTGTTGAAAAGATTTTATCGATTGCGTTGAAAGTCCAGCTGACCAGATCCATGACAGTAGTTTTATTTTTCAGCAGAGGTGGGTTGATGAACCAAAACCATGAACAGGTTTTAATGAAGTTCTGGTTCGTTTTTATTTTTCCGGTGCAGTTTTCATTGTCTGTTTACGAGCGGCGGGGGATCCGTGTGTAAAAACAGTTTTGTGTTTGTGACAGCGCTCGATGCAGCTCTGGACTTCCAGCAGACGCAGGTTGTACCCGACTCCTGGAAAACTGAAGTGAAAGAGGAAAGCTCCAGCAGCGAGGAGGAGGATGAGGATGAAGAAGAGGAGCAGGAAGAAGATGCCAGCGGCGAAGAGGAGGAGGTAGAGGCACATTTCCTGTCTCCTTATCCCGCCAAATCCAAGTGGACCTCATCTAAACTCTTGTTTTCCCGTCTGCAGGAGGAGGTGGAACCGTTCCCGGAAGAGAGGGAGAACTTTCTGCAGCAGCTCTACAAGTTCATGGAGGACAGAGGTGGGTGCAGGACAGACACACAAATCTGATTTTAACATTTTAAAATCAACTTTTTTCAAGCGCCTGCTCCGTGTTTCTCCTCTGCAGGAACTCCCATCAACAAGCGGCCCGTTCTCGGCTACAAGAACCTGAACCTGTTCAAGCTCTACAGGCTGGTTCACAGGCTGGGCGGTTTCGACGGCGTGAGTCCCCCTCCGACTGTTGCTCCCAGTTTATTGGAGTATTAAGTGGCTGAACTTATTTGTGTTCTGAGCAGATTGAAAGCGGCTCCGTTTGGAAGCAGGTCTACCAGGACCTGGGCATCCCTGTGCTCAACTCGGCTGCCGGCTACAATGTCAAATGTGCTTACCGCAAGTACGTGCACACACGGCCCCAAGTGCCCTGAAGTTTTTATTTACACCTTCTGTTCCTGTTCTCTGCAGCCTCGTGTGTTCAGAACTTTGGATTAGTTTATATATTTTCCTGCGCTTCTGTTTGTCTTCCACATTTTTTTCAGTCTTAACTACATCTGCTAATTTTGTGCTATTACAGGATATGTTAGCATATCAAAATATTTAGGGATGAGGGATGGTTGCTATAACTTAGGGTTTTTTACTTTACTTTTTATACTTTGTTTTTTTGGCATTTTGCTGCTTTAGCTGGTATTTTGTAGCTCTTTGCTGGTTATTTGCTGGTATTCTGTTGCTTTTAGATTACCCTTTGCTACTTTTAGCTGGCCTTTTGTGGCTTTTAGCCGTCTTTAGCATTTTGCTGCTTTAAACTAGCATTTTGCTACCTTTAGCTGGCATTCTGCTGCTTTTAGCTTGTATTCTGCTTTTAGCTTGCATTTTGTTACTTTTTTCTGGCCTTTTGATGCTTTTAGCTGGCATTCTGTTGCTTTTAGCTAACTTTTTGCTGCTTTTAGCTGGCTTTTTATCAATGTGCAGCTTTAAATTAGCATTTTGTTACAATTAGCTGGCCATTTGCTTCTTTCAGCTTGCATTTTGTTACTTTTAGCTGGCCTTTTGCTGCTTTTAGCTGGCATTCAGCTGCTTTTAGCTGGCCTTTTACTGCTTATAGCTGGCATTCACCTGCTTTTAGCTGGCCTTTTGCTGCTTTTAGCTGGCCTTTTGCTGCTTTTAGCCGGCATTCAGCTGCTTTTAGCTGGCCTTTTGCTGCTTATAGCTGGCATTCAGCTGCTTTTAGTTGGCCTTTTGCTGCTTTTAGCTGGCATTCAGCTGCTTTTAGCTGGCCTTTTGCTGCTTTTAGCTGGCATTCAGCTGCTTTTAGCTGGCATTCACCTGCTTTTAGCTGGCCTTTTGCTGCTTATAGCTGGCATTCACCTGCTTTTAGCTTGTATTATTCTGCTTTTAGCTTTGCAGTTTGTTACTTTTAGCTGGCCTTTTGATGCTTTTAGCTGGCATTTTGCTGCTTTTAGCTGTCTTTAGTCTTTTGCAGCTTTAAACTAGCATTTTGCTACCTTTATCTGACATTCTGCAGCTTTTAGCTTGTGTTCTGCTTTTAGCTTGCAGTTTGTTACTTTTAGCTAGCCTTTTGCTGTTTTTAGCTGGCATTCAGCTGCTTTTAGCTGGCATTCAGCTGCTTTTAGCTGGCCTTTTGCTGCTTTTAGCTGGCCTTTTGCTGCTTATAGCTGGCATTCACCTGCTTTTAGCTTGTATTATTCTGCTTTTAGCTTTGCAGTTTGTTACTTTTAGCTGGCATTTTGCTGCTTTTAGCTGTCTTTAGTCTTTTGCAGCTTTAAACTAGCATTTTGCTACCTTTATCTGACATTCTGCAGCTTTTAGCTTGTATTCTGCTTTTAGCTTGCAGTTTGTTACTTTTAGCTGGCCTTTTGCTGTTTTTAGCTGGCATTCTGCTGTTTTTAGCTGGCCTTTTGCTGCTTTTAGCTGGCTTTTTATCAATGTGCAGCTTTAAACTAGCATTTTGCTACAATCAGCATCTTCAACAAATGCCAGTCCCTCAGCTCTCAGCGTTCATTTTGCTCTGGTTTAAAATGTCGTCTCTTGCAGGTATTTATATGGATTTGAGGATTACTGCACCTCCACTGCCATCACATTCAAGATGGACCTGCCTTTGAAGCAAAGTCCCAAGAGGGAGGTCAAGTCTGAGGAGGAGGGAGGAGGAGCAGCTCCTCCTGCTTTCAACTCAGAGCTGAAGACCCAAGTGGACGGAGAACTTTACAATCCACCGCCCACAGTCTGCAAGGTGCGTTTTCCTACATGCTCTTTGAATTAAACCTTTATCTGCTGTTCTGGCATTGAATAATTAAGAAAAGTGGGCCCCCCCCACCCCACAGGAGGAAAAACCTGATGTGCCCCGCAACAAGGCGGAGTCCGAGTCTTCAAAAACTGAAGGGAAGGACTGCGGAAGGAACGTCGACGAAGATGGAGAACTTTTAAAGGGAAATGCAGACGAGGGCTCGTCGACGTCTCGCCTCGGAGCGAACGACATGAAACAGGAAGACGACGAGCCGGAGGGCAAAGACAACTCCGGGTAGGTGGTCTGCCGGGATCCTCGTGGTGGCACACAAACATCATGCAGGACTTCTGCGTGGTGAAACTGTCAGTAAACACTACAGAATGTAAAGCAGGTAAATAACCTGAAGCAGTCGTTTTACTCTGTCAGTGCTACATTAGCAAAAGAGGAGGAGCGAGCCCTGTTACCTCAGTGACTAATACCCACAATCCACCTCTGCCTGCTAACCAGACAGTGGAGATCTCCTCTCTCCTTCTTGACTGAGCTCTTGCTGCTTTTTGCTCTAATTATTTTTCTTGGCTTGGTCAGCATCAGCTGGAAGAGATGTCGTAGGGCGCTTTGACCGCTACCTTTCACCTGGCCCCTCTGCCACCGCGCTCCGTCTCCGTCTGTCTGAGGTTGTTTAACCGTGGCGAGCCTCCGCCCGCTCCACATCTGTCTCTGACTCTTCTGTCTCTCACTTTTAAGCTTTTTGTTGTCCAGCTTTTATTAAATGTTCCATGTGTACGAATGCTGTCACTGAGGCATTAACCCCTCAGCCTTGAAACGGAGCTTCACATGCAGTGCAGTGGTTCCCAACCAGGGTCCTTGAGGAACACCATCCTGCATGTTTCACTTGTTTCCCTGCTTTGACACACCTGATCTGCAGAACTTGAAGTCGTTGAATCTGGTGTGTTGGAGCAGGAAACAACTGAAACATGCAGGACGGTGTTCCTCAGGGACCAGGGTTGGGAACCACGGAGTTAGTAACGTGTACAACCCCAATTCTGGAAACAGTTGAAACGTTGTGAAAAGAGTATAAACAAAAACTAAATGCAAAGATTTTCAAACGTCATCAACTCATATTTTTTATTCACAGTGGAACAAAGTGAACGTGCCAGATGTTGAAACTAGTTGTGCTCATTTGAGGAAGAGATGAGGTCATTCTGAATTTGATGGCAGCAACACATCTGTCTAAAGTTGTCCATGGCTCCCTCTGTGAAGAACCCCCTCTTCTTTTAACAACACTCGTGAACATCCAGGACCTGAGGAGACCAGTTCTGGAGTTTTTGGAGGGAATGTGGTCCCGTTCTGGTCTGAAGGATGATTCTAGCTGTTCTGTAGTCCTGGAGGGGAGCAGATGTTCTAAAACATGTTTCTACTTTTCTGATGGAACCTTTCCAGATGTGTAATATGCCCATGCCAGAGGCACTAATGCACCACCATACCATCAGAGAGGCAGGATTTAAAACTGCACATTGACAATAGGCTGGATGATCTCTCTCCTCTTTAGTTTGGAGGATGTAGTTTTTCAAAAAATAATTTAAAATTTGGATCCAGTTTGTATTGCAGCCCGCGCTACATGGGTGCATACAGTTGTCAACGGGGGGGGGGGGCTCCGTCCTGCTGGCGGGACGGGGCGCCCCGCTTGTATAATGGTTGGGGAAGCACTAAATGATACGTGGAAGTGTTCCTGGGCCCAGAACAGGCCTGCGTTTAATGCAGGGGCCCCCGAGGGCCCGAAGATGACGACAATCCAGTGTTGACTTTCAGCCTCGTCCTTTGAGCTCAGAGATTTTTACAGATTATTTTAATCTGTTGGTGAGATTATGAACCGGAGATTCAAAGTTTTCCCTGTTTTTAGTTGAGGAACTTTATCATGAAAGCATCCCACTAGTCTTCGAGTTTTTCAGTCTGGTGAACCTCTGCCCGTCTTTACTTCTGAGAGATTCTAAGACGGGGCTATCCAACTGGCGGCCCGGGGGCCAAATCAGGCCCAGCAGTGAACTCAGTTCGTCCCACTATGGGTTCATCTTGAAATGATTTTAAACCATAAACTTCATGACAACAACTGCTGGATGTCCGGCCCCTGAGCTCTTGGCTGCAGTAGCTCAAGTTCAAATGTCTTTATTGTCATTCGCGTCACATGTGGTACATGAGGTGGAACGAAATTGTGTACTCAAGGTCCCAGTTACACCCGAAAATAGCAAAACTATAAAGTATAAAAAGAAACGGTATATAAGAATCTTAGCTATTCGCTAAAAGGTCTAACTGTGGCCCCCTGAGTAACAGTTGAATAGTCCTGCTCCACGATGCTCTTGTTCTACCCAGACCTCTTTGAAAAACGAAAATTACCTTAACTGGTTACAAAAAACCTCCTCCAGCTGTTTTATTTATAGTTGCAGTCATCAAATTAAAAAGTAACCGATTTTTCCAAAACGAATTGCACTTTTTAATTGAACCCTTTGATTTGTTCATATTCTGTTGTGAATAAACTATAGATGTATGAGATTTGCGAGTCTTGGCATTGCAACGACCAGGTGTTTTCTGCGTCTGCGTTGTAGTTCACGTGAACGTGGCGCTGAAGCCGTTCGTATGGTTTCGCTCTTGTTCGGTGCCTGGATCAGAACTTTCAGGCCCGTTTTGATCTTTGACCTCTACAGCCGAGACGTGAGGAAGTCCTGCTCTGGGGGGGCACTTCCACTCGTTAAGGGTTCTGGATGTTCCGAAGATGAGCTGCAGCTCGTAGCGTCCGTCTCTGTAGCCGCGGTACTTGAGATGATGCTGGTGACCGAACCGTGTGGACGCTCGCGGTTCCTTTTGCCGAGTGGAGCGCGTCTGTTCGCTGATCGGATCTTTTCTGATAACGCCGCACCTCTTTGATGTTTACAGCTTGTAATCTGGATGATGCATGCGTTGCGTCTGATCTGTTTTGTAGCCAGGGATTGGTAGTTTACTGTTTTAATTTAAGAGATCGTTTTAATCTCATAGCAGTGATCATTGGTCTAAAGTGATTTAACTGCAGTTGAAGTGAATATTTCACTTTATCAGAACATTTATCCTTTTTTAAATGTGGCTTTAGATTCATTTAATTATTTATGGGGCTCTGAAGCGAGGCTATGGACAGTCAACATCATACCTGTTGCAGATGGCACTTGGAACGGCCTCTGCTTGAAGAAATAGACTTTAGTTCTGACAGGATGGACGCGCTAAGAGCTAGTCCGAATGCAGCCAGGACCAGAGCGAAGTCCTGCCGTCTTCAAACCATTTCAGGTTTGGAAAATGTCAGTGGTTCTTCTGATTATTTTAAAAAACGTTCGTGTCAGTTTCTCAGTACAGGATTATTTGCGAGCTCAGATAGCAGCAGCTAGCTGGAGCGCTTCCGCCAGAAATATCCTCTTTTTGCCAAAGATTGATGAAGTGCTGTTTGCATGAAGCGCTATGAGAGCGTGGAGCTCGGTTAACGATCCACTTTGCTCTCAGCTGGACTCAGACTAGCCTTTAGCTCGTCAGTCTGGTCAGAAATAAACTCTTTTTCATCACTTTTGTCCGCGGGTTTGACTCGACCCCACTCGTGTCGAGTCTTCCCTTTGGGTGATCCCACCTACATTCAGCTCCACCTCCTCGGCTGGAGTTCCAAGTGACCCGGGTCAGGCTGAAGATCTGACGTCAGCAGACTGCAGGCTGGTGATGGGTCAAAGAGCGACGTCAACCATGAGAGCGTCTCCTTCACACGAATCAAACCCGCCATTTTTAAAACCTCGCACGTTCGTTTTTATTTACTCGATATAGTCGTGAAAATGTCAACGTGAAGCAACACTGATGCTGTGAGGAGGTGCAGATGTTTCTGAGCTGGTTGGCTGATGACAGAATCAGAGGGACTCGATTTTTGGGCTACGTCTGGAAGGTGGCCTCGACTCGGCATCATTTATGAATCCGTGGCAGAGGATGGTGGGTGTTTTATGGCTTTACTTCACTTATTTGTCCATCGCTGTGTTGTGTTCGACTTGGGTAGAAAATAATTACTTCACAGAAGTTTTGGGCATCTGCGTGAAGTATATTTTTATTTAGATTATATATTAGCTTAACGAAATGAATGAATGAAATGTGTGGATATATGTGTTTTATTTATTTAATATGATACCGTGTTAAAACACAGACTTACGGTTCCGTTTTCAGTAGGGAATGTAGTTTTTAGATCCACGCCTACAAATCCCAACATCCACTGTTTTCGAACACAAGACGGTGAGTTTTCATTGGCTGAGAGCTGGGTCACATGTTAGGATAGGGCTTCCCATTCGCCGGCGGTGGTGACTCCTCCTAGGAGGTGTGGCCAAGCTCTGAAGAACATGCGTGTTCTAGCTACGCTCAGCGCCGTTTGCTTGTGACCACATGGGGAGGCATTAATGGCTAGGCCTGTCGCGATAAACGATAAATCAATTAATCGCACGATGAATTTAAATGATCGACCTCATTTTCATTTATCGGCTTTGTTTCTTCGTGTCTCTCTCTTTCTACTGAAGACACTGGATGACAAAAGGCTCAACTTCGTTGCTCGTCACTGACTCCTCCCTTTCTCTTTAAAATTCGTTTAAACCGTCCAAAATCGTGTTTTTGGATCTTTAAAAGCAGCTAACCCGAGAAGCTAAGCTACGAGCTAAGCTAACAGGCCGACCTTGGGAATAAATCTCCGTCTCGTCGAAGCTCCAAAATTCACAGTCGAAACCCGTGCCTTCATGTAAAAAGTTGTTTTTCTCTGCAAAAAGAAGCTGAGAACTTGTTTATTGATTTTTTTATTTTATTTTTATTAAAAGCTTTGTGTGAAAAATGCTAAAGAGCTCAAATCACTGAACATACGCCATGTCTTTTTCACCATGTCATGTCAAGGGCCCTCCAGTGTTGCCAGGTGAGAAATGTAGGATTATCGTACTAGAGACATAAAATTATCGTATTTTGAGGGAAATTATCGTACACCCGCCATAACCAGAATAACAAATCTATTGATGCACTATAGTAGTGATGGGTCCGCTTCCAGTCCGGCTCTGCTTCTTCTTCTTTTCTTTTCCTCACTCATGGGGTGGGCGCAGCGGACTATTCAGCCAATCATGACCGTTGTTCTGAGGCAAACACGTCACTCGTAGGTAACATTTAGAAAAGCACGATTGGCTGGAATTTCCAGACAATCGTGCATCTGTTTCCAGACACAGATGCCTTCAGGGTTCACAAAAAAATTCCGACAGACAGTTGCGACAGGCTGATGACAACTGATTACAACCACACATTCACGGAATGGTCAAATTATCGTATAGTTAGCCTTTTTTTGGAATTATTGATTGTACAGAGGGCAAAATTGTCGTACAAATACGATAATTATCGTACGCCTGGCAACACTGGGGCCCTCCCTCCCATTTTTCTTAAAGAGACACGCTGCTCAACTATCCAAACAGTCTTATACTGCCATCAGGTGGTCAAAAAAGGTACTACAGCCTAACAAATCAACATTTCTTCTAAAATTTGACAATTAATTATTGTTAAATTTCAAACGATATTATCCTTTATCGCAATAATTTCTGAGACAATTAATCGCCCAGCAAAATTTGTTATCGTGACAGGCCTACCCAGGGCTGATCATTTTTGTACCTTATATTCGTGTTGAGTAAACCTTCTGAAAATGGACGATTGCTTCTCCCAAGCTTGCTTCAGAAATGGACAACATCTCAACACGTGCTACGATGGTCCTGCCCACGTTGATGTGGAACTCAAGTCGTATCAAAATCCACCGTGCAGACCAGAGTAGAGTCCAAGTGGATCGAGGTGAGACCGGACAATGGAAATGAGACTTAATCATGAACACAGTCAAAGTGTTAGCGCTGTTACACCCGCTTTCTTCTGTGTTTCCACTTCCTGGTCCAGTTGAAGCTTGGCTGTCGGTCGAGCTCTGCCGTCGCTCCAAAGCACCACAGTTCACCGTGACTGAATGAGGGTGCAGTTGAAATGGACTTTGTAGTGGACGTCGCTCACTCGATGCTCCTCTGTCAGAAGCAACATTTCTGCTTCCTCCTCTGGGTGGAAACACGAGCACAGCTTGCGTCTATAATTAGAGTTGCACCGATCCTAGATTAGTATCAGTATCAACATAAAAACAAATTCTGAGTCGGGTGTCGGTGACAATGTGACCCTAAGGACAGGAGCTGATTGTTGTTTATTTTAAATATCTGCCAACCAAGCTAGTGAAGTTGTTTTCCCCTCTTATTTCAGCTCCTTTATTATTTATTTTACATTATGTTTAGAATTCCTGAACCATTTGAAAGGTTTGTTAAAGTTTATTTTTTCATGTTTGACCAACGTTGTCAACCTGTCCTTTTTGTCAGTTTCAGTAAATTGATTATTATTTATTTTACACTGGATGTTAAACTCATTATTGCACTGACTGAACAAATTGAAATTGTGTTGTTTTTACACGTTTGACCAAGCTAGTGAAGCTACTGGTGCGTTTAAGTGTGCCGTACTGGTGCAGAGTTTTTGTAATTCAGTATATTTATGCTTGTGTTATAAAAAAAAAAAAAAGTTGAAGTTAATTCAGAACTGTTTTTCTGGATCGGTATTGATTGATCCTAAACATCGGGTATCGGATGTGAAAAAAGTGGATCGGTGCATCCCTAAATATAATGTGGCTTTAGTTGTTTGTCTCTTCAGCTTCATACAAGCCGAAACTCTTCCAAACACTGTTTTTAATGCGGGAGGAGCCGTTTCACGTCTCGGTCAGCCTCAGTTGTGTTCACGCCACAAACAAACCACTTTCTTTATGACTTTTTTCAGAACACAACTTCAATAAATCTAAACGATCCCTTTAGAAAACTCTTACTTTTAAGGACCGCACCTAAATAGTTGCATGGTGTAAATGTTTGACGATGTGTTGCTGTGTGAAGGGAGACCATGAGGCGCTACGAAGCACCCGGAGGTGTTTTGTTTGTTTTTTTTGCTTCAGGCGTCTCAAGTCTCATTTGTTTCCTCAAGTCTTTTGACCGTTTCTTCCAGCTGACGTTCTTGGTTTGACGTTAACACGTCTGAGCTTCGTGCTGCTTGGGGTTACCGTGCTGATCAAACTGGATTCAAACGCTTTACCTGCTTTAAGTCGCTGCTACCTGCAAAGGTGTTGCTGTGCTAACCTTCTTGAGTGGACCCTGCACCTAAAACTCCTGCCACACTGCCAGAACACACTTCCCACCTTTGACGTCTGGCTCTTTCCCTCTAGCTCCTTCTTGTGGCTGCTTTGTTTCTCACTGTGTGTATGAATGAGAACCTCACGTGTGGATTAGCTAATCCTAAAGCAGAGTTATTCCTCATAACCAGTGCCATTAAACATGTTTTATTTGCTAAAACACTACATGTACTGTTTAACTGATTGGTTTACTGTTAATGATGCAGTTGTTTATCCTGCAGCTTGCTTTAGGTTACAGCGGACTAGAGTTGAGTAAGAAATAAATTGTAAGGGGACAGGGCAGGTGAGGGCGGAGCTAAAAATAGATAACGGGCTTCTGTGCAGCAGGCAGGGAGCTGGGTGGATGGGGCGGGGGCTTCTGTGGTGTGCAGTTGGGGGTCAGCCTAGGGCCAGGAAGTGCTGAACTGTTTTTCTTGCAGGGATGACAGCAGTCAGGAGGGGGAGGAAGGGGAGGAGTTTGAGTGTTACCCCCCGGGGATGAAGGTGCAGGTGAGGTATGGGCGAGGCCGCAATCTGAAGACGTACGAGGCCACTGTGAAAGAGGCAGACGTGGAGGGGGGAGAGGTGCTCTACCTGGTGCACTACTGTGGCTGGAACATCAGGTAAGACAGGACGTGGGGAGAAATCACCTTTTATTCATCCTGAACAAAGGAAACCAGTATAAACAGACACAAATGGAGGAGCTCGTACCTGTTTGTCAAGGAGCGAAAAACCCACAAAGGTCAATGAAACGAGTTGAAATTGACAATTATATTAAAAATTAAATAAAAACTGCCCTTTACGAAAAGGTCCTGGAAAATATTGAAATCAATCTGACCACAGGGACACTTTAAAGTCAGGTGTGTCCTGTAACCATCATCTCAGGTGTCTTCCATCTATAATCAATCAGGGTGACAGGTAGTCACAGGGCTGTTTATCATGGTGACGCTGAACATGGACCACAGGAAGCTGAGGACAGACTTGTCTCAGGAGCTGCAGGAAGCTGAGG